CTGTACTGATGCATTGGGCAGTAAAAGGCAGACAAATAATCCCCAATGTGACTCAGAAATCTTTGTTATCAAAAATCAAAAGCTGTATTAAATTATTTTATAGATGAATAAGATATAATTATTGTGAATGAATGGTGGATAATTGAAATGTATTTACTTATTGTTTTTATATATTTTTGTCTGTTGTTGTTGTTGTTGTTGTATTGAGCCTAATTCTGACCCATGTAAAATAAAGAGTTTATTATTATTATTGATATTATATTTTTATATTCGCCCACATGAAATAAGGAGCGTATATTGGCCATGTAGTCAGTCGGTCCTTCGGTCTTTGCTCCAGACAGCAATATTCTTTACGGATTTGTGAGGAATCTTAGTGAAATTGTTTATTATCACCCCATTTGGAAAATATTTAATGCGAGTTTAATGTTCTTGAAAATAAGTTCATTTTTTTTAGCTCGTAAACACTTCTGACGCCGTCAACCGCCATAATATGCCAGAAAACGTTACACCTGACGATTGCCAACAGACCTTACCGTGCGTTAGCGTTATTGTCCCAAGTGTAAAGACACCCGCACAAGATTCGACTGTCTGTGTGGTCTAATAGCCTCTTGTGATTGGTTGAAACGCCGACGCATGTAAATTCATGTCGTTTAATGGCGATTTAGATGAAATTGGGAGAGATTGTTAGTGTTAACAAATGTTGCCCTTGTTCTTCGAAACTCTTCGTTAACATTGCAGAAAGCGCACTTAGTGTGAGTTTTCAATGAAACCTGGAGCAATTCCCAATAATGAATACAATAGGAACCGGCGTATTTAGGCATTTTTAGACCATGACCATGTGGTATTTTTTATTAATCTTTCAATCATGCAGTATTAAATCTCTTGCTATTAATTCAAGGGAGACAAACACAAATATTAAACCCTATATCGGACCACTAATTCATTTGCAATCTGTTTTCATGTTAAATCACGAAATTCAACCTACTATACTTTTTCCAGAATTCTCGTTGAAAACGTTCCAATATGTCACATGAGAGTTTGGCTAATGCTTAGCTTCTGGACAAATATCAATATATCAATAAATCTTAAGCTAGTCAAACTGTAAGTAGACCACTACATCGTATTCATTGCTAATTCATTTGCTGATTGTAAGAAAACAGATTGTAAATCAGTATAACTTATATGGTTTATTCAACATAATATTAAAACATAACATAATTAAATTTTCACTTTGAGCAAGAATATCAATTATCAATAATTAGTATGTCATAGCTGCTCAATATACACAACAAATAGGAACGTGCCAACAATATTGCAAAAATTCGTACAAAATTCGAGATGATGAAGCTGACCAAAGAAAGAGAAAAATCTAGTCTGAGTACCAAATCATCCTTAGTCCTCAAAGATAACCACCACTTTAAAACCTTCATCAGCTCATGAAGAGAGATATTATCATAAAACATAACATCAGTAATCTTATCCAACTCCGAATGATGCATTCACAGATATAAAGATGGGTTCCCTTATTTTGTTTCATAAAATATGAAAATGAAAATACTTATATAAATAGAAAGTAGAGGTGTTCTAATGACTTGGAAAAATACCAGTTTGTCTCACATGTTCATAATTAATTCATAATTAGGCTAAATTCCAATAAATGAGCGATCAAGAAAGGTAAAAAAGTATACAACAATTTTACTCATGGTTTGTTCGTTTCTTACTAATAAGACCCAAAGGACTTAAAAAAACTCAAGAAACGTTACAAAGCTACAAGGCTGACATTTACAGGGATAATCCACATGGAATAGCTGGACCTGTCAGGACAAACAGAACTCAAACATCTCCCATAGAACAGAAAATAGGTTTTGACAGTTTTCATTCATATTGGTCATAGAGCCGAATATGGCCATTATCCAACTTTTTCCAAATTCACCAATTTTACTCATAATTTGCTCTTTTCCTACTTATTAGACTCCAAGGATTAAAAAAAACTCAAGAAACCAAATTAAAATCAGTAAGTTTGTAAACTAGCTATATGCAGTCTGCACAGTGGTACTAAGCAAGTGCACAAACACAAATGAATTTTTTGCGTGAAAAGTTACAAATCTACGAGACTGAAATTTGCAAGCCTTCTCATGACAGACTATGAACGTTTATATTACTGTTGATGATTTAAAGATATTACCCAGAAAAATTCTCATTAATCACCATCAATCCGTAAAACTATCAGATTAAATAATTTCTAGATTTCACTGTCTACAAAGGAGATTCCATAGCAGAAAACTGGTTATTGTGTTGATACTGATTTTACCCCCAAAATTGTTTTTCACAAACTATACTATTATAAACAAATTTTATGTAGCACAAACAATTCACTTTTGCAGAGATAGGAGCTAAGAACAGATTTTTTCCGATCATAATACAAGCATTGCATCCTGTGTTGTCCCCTCGTCGAGCAATCAGTTAGCTCAAGCATGAATCACTGGTTGATGGCTCCAGTTTGGAACATAAGGGCTCAACAAGGGGGCCTCGCGGTACCAGACATAAATCACCCAGTTAGCAATGTTGACTATACTTTCGAAAGCAAGGCGAATGGCGACAGGAGCACACTTGGTCACTTTATCGTTTCAGAAAACCTATTTAGTAAAATAACTCAATACTTAACAATTCATGACGGGGATAATGCACCGATTAGTCTCTTTGTGGATGTGTATATACCTAGTCTTAATAACTCTAAATCAATTGATGGTAACCACAATGTTCTCAAATGGCAGAATGCATCAGCCAATCATATATTTAGGTACAAGAGTACTTTAGAGAACTTATTATCTGATATTGTGATACCATATGATGCAATTCAATGTAAAGATATGTTCTGTAAAACTCACAATGTCGAATTAGAGAATTTCTATAATATACTGGTTGAGGCTAGTATCAATGCTGGTCTTAAGAGCATACCAAACGAAACGTGTAATACCTGGTTGGTCTGATTATGTTGACGACTATCGACGGGTATCTATTTTCTGGCATAACATTTGGAAAGAAAACAACTCCCCCCGCACAGGACATCTCGCAGACATTAGATGTCGCACTAGAGCTCGATACCACTGTTAAGTCAGACAAAGATGGCATATCAGCGAATAAATTGGCAGAAAGTCTGGTTGTAAATAAAAGTCGAAACTTCTGGAAAGAAATTCAGAAAATAAAGGGTTCAGTTAAGGCAATATCGAATAACGTTGATGGTAAAACCAGTGCTACGGATATAAGTCAAGTGTTCTCAAATAAGTATGAACAATTATTCAGTTCTGTTTCTTTTGATCCAAATGATTTAAAGTGCCTTAAAAATCAATTAGAATCAGATATTGAGAGTAGATGTCAACATGCAAATTGTTATGGTAGTCATGAAATAACTGTTAAGGATGTTATTGATGCTGTAAATCATCTTAAACACAATAAAAATGATGGTAATCTTGGTCATACTTCCGAGCATATTATATTTGCCCCTCATTCATATATTTGTCTATTATCCCTAGCGTTGACGGGAATGCTACATCACGGAAATAATCCACCTAATTTCTGTTTATCAACCATTCTTTCTATTCCTCAAGACAGGAAGAAATCTCTCAGTGACTCGGATAATTATAGGGGAATCACCTTGAGTAGCATCACTGGCAAATTGTTAGATTGGATAATTCTTAATAAACATAAACATATTCTAAAATCATCAAATCTACAATTTGGTTTCAAAGGTGAACACTCAACTACTCACTGATCACTTGTTATCAGCGAAACTATTCATTATTATCATCAGAATAAATCTGACATGTATATCTGTCTTTTGGACACAAGTCGGGCATTCGAAAGAATACATTTCATAAAGCTTTTCAGGATACTTCTGGATTGTGGTATATGCCCTCTAATAGCTAGATTTCTCCGCGACAATTATATCTCGCAAAAGGTGAGAGTAGAATGGGCTAACTGTATATCAGAATCGTTCAATGTCTACAATGGTGTGAAACAAGGGGGAGTACTATCTCCAATAATGTACACTGTATATTTAGATAAACTATTAAGCAGGTTGCAACAGAGTAAGCTTGGGTGTCATATTGGACACATCTATGTTGGGGCCGTTGCTTACGCCGACGAATTTTCAAACGAATATGATGTTAAGTTTAATCCCGACAAAAGTAAAATGTTAATTCTAAGTCATGACCATAAAGATGTATCTAATATAAATCAATGTAGTAAATTCTGATCACGATTGGGTAATTCCTTTTTATGTGACAGCAATGAATATATTATACAGAAGGGTATCAATAATTTCATATGTAAATTTAATGTATTTTTTAACTTTTTAAACATGCATGTTCAGATACTAAGGGTTTTATTGAGCCTGGCGAACTTATATACGTAAATTGCTTAATCTACCATATATAACTCATAATTCATTGTTACCAATATGTCACGACATTCCTGTAGAAAACCAACTGCATCTGAGATTTTTTAAGTTCTTTAAAATATGTCTTTTAAATAAGAATGAATGTATTAAGATGTGCAGTAGCCTTGCTTTTATTGGAAGCAAATCTCCCACTTGTAACACCCTATCATATATTTGTCATAAATATAATTTTTCCCGTTATAACATAAATTATATAGCGTGTAATATTTTCTACGCCAATCACGAGACTGCAGAAAATGACTGCAACAGCAATTAGAGATATGACGTCATTGATAGAGTCAAAAGAACACAAAGTGGATTACTCTAACATAAAAGAAATCATTCATCATCTTTGTACATGGTAATTGCATTGATGTGAAGTTATTTATTGTATATATTGTCTAAAGTGTACCATGTTTTCTGAGTACGAATAAAACATTTGAAACTTGGGAGTTGGTTAAAGACTGGGTCAGTCTCAATTTTTCTGTTTGTGGGCAGATTGAAGGACATTCACGTCCCTAAATTTATGGTTATTACTGAAAGCAAATAATAAAAGATATATATCATGATAAATATTATTATGTTATTAACATATTTTTTCTGTTAAGGTAGTGCCCTTTCCAGCAAGAAGTTTCCAATCATCAGGTATCTCGTTCAGTGGAACTTTAAATAAGTAACATAGCTGTCCTCCAGTACGTATATTTAGTTTATCACTACTCATCGTTACACATTCACTCATCTCGTTACACTGTTTCATGCATTGGTCAAGATCGTAATCATCACTCGCGAAGATGACTGGTGATCGGAAAAGGACGCAATAGTCCTGTCTAAATAAATTTGCATAGTTACATTGGGAAGTATTGCTACACAGTTCATTACATCCCTCCACATCTGTTGGGCGTCCGAATGGTGATGGAGAGAAAATTGTTCCGACTATCACTATTGTACCATTGTAATACTTGATACAATCTGGAATATAAATTAGGTATATAGTTTGATTGTAGTATAAAATATTTCTATCATATTCGTATTGAAGAGTCGATATTAGGCTATTGGTTTCAACATTTTGAAACTCCAACGGTTTTGGTAAAAAATCATCAGTAAATAAAAAATTACCAAAATGTTATTTGATATAATTTTACCAGTTGACGATTGAGGTGCTAACATTCGGAGGCACGATCAAGATGTCTTTTTAAACTCAAACAAGTGCGATTCAAAAATCACCTGGGAGGGGGGGGGGGGTAATATTTGCTTCGACACCCCTCTACATCCCCCATCTCCTACGCATATGGAACATCTTATGGAAAATTAGGTCAAAATTTTGTAAAGTCGTCAATTCATGGTTCTGTACAGATATTTTCCTGCTAACCTTGTTTTAGAAAACGTGAATTCAATGCACTCGTCGTGAAAGTCAGCACTATGCACAAAAATATATGTTACCCTCGCATGGCGTTTTCGTCATCCAATCTCCATTTTCTCCACATGTCAAAGTTCCATTCAAACCTCGCCTGGTGTAACCAGTCAAACAGTTAAAATCATAATCTTCACCAGATATACCTGATGGTGTTAAATCAACGGAATTTTCGATTTCTTCACCAAGTGGACACCTAACAGCTAATTTTGGTAAAACAAACAGGAAAACATAAAGAATACAATGTCAAGTGTAATAAAAAACAAAACAAACCGTGGACGAAGATAAGAGTTATGACCTTTCACACACAAAAAAAAACTGTCATTATGAAAATCACAGTTCTGTGAATATTGTTCGCTTTGTATTTCTATTTTTTCAAGAAAAGTTTTTACAGCTTTCGAGTTGTTATCGATATTTTTTTTATTTTATTTTTTTTTTTCATTTTGTTGTCAGAGTATCAAGAAAAACTGTAATACGGAACATTTTTGGCATCGAGTTCTAGTTAACTTAGCGGAAAAATTCGAACACATTCAGTATGCACTTTTTCACAGCTTTAAATAAATATATGAAATTATATGCATTATAAAAATTTGGAAAAAAAATTGAAGAAAATTACTATTAAGTAAGAAAACGTTAAAAAGATTGTCTAACCAGGTCAGCAGGTCATAGAGGGTTAATGTGGAAATAAGTTATTTTAAGTTATGCGGACTATTGCTTCGACACCCCTCTCCATCCCCCCATCTCCTACGCATATGGAACATCTTATGGAAAATTAGGTAAAAATTTTGTAAAGTCGTCAATTTATTATGTTACCCTCGCATGGCGTTTTCGTCATCCAATCTCCATTTTCTCCACATGTCAAAGTTCCATTCAAACCTCGCCTGGTGTAACCAGTCAAACAGTTAAAATCATAATCTTCACCAGATATACCTGATGGTGTTAAATCAACGGAATTTTCGATTTCTTCACCAAGTGGACACCTAACAGCTAATTTTGGTAAAACAAACAGGAAAACATAAAGAATACAATGTCAAGTGTAATTATTGTTCGCTTTGTATTTCTATTTTTTCAAGAAAAGTTTTTACAGCTTTCGAGTTGTTATCGATATTTTTTTTATTTTATTTTTTTTTTCATTTTGTTGTCAGAGTATCAAGAAAAACTGTAATACGGAACATTTTTGGCATCGAGTTCTAGTTAACTTAGCAGAACAATTCGAACACATTCAGTATGCACTTTTTCACAGCTTTAAATAAATATATGAAATTATATGCATTATAAAAATTTGGAAAAAAAATTGAAGAAAATTACTATTAAGTAAGAAAACGTTAAAAAGATTGTCTAACCAGGTCAGCAGGTCATAGAGGGTTAATGTGGAAATAAGTTATTTTAAGTTATGCGGACTTAGTGGAAAAATTCGAACAGAATTATAATGTGCAAATTCATAGCTGTATATAGATACCTAAAATAATATACCTAAAAAATTTTGAAAAATATCTGAAATAAAATATACTATTAATAAGAAGGGATTATAAGGAGTTAAAAACATTATGTAACGGGTATTGAAGCCAATTTCACACCTTTGTAGTTTTGTCACAAAAGTCAGAGTCTTCGGACTATATTTTGCACAAACTAGCAAATTTGTAATTCCACAGAATATGTACCATTTTCATTTTGTACCTTTGTCGTGTTTGCAAATTCTTAACTGTTTAGCCGCCATCTAGAACAATGCAAATAATCGTAAAACTTAAATTAATCCGATTGTTCTCAAATTTAATGTAAATTGTAAGTTGGAAAAATACCTAGGTCCTCTAGTCACCCTTTTTTTGAATTTCGACTTTGTCTTTGCATGATTTCCTGTCAAGGTTTTTTCTGACAGCATTGACAGACCAAATTCTAAAAGCTAATAACTTTTGAACCTGACCTTCGACACCCTTCATCTTTGTACAGAAATATTTGGTTTCTTTGAAAATTTAGAGTGATACCCGTATTTGTTGTTTTGATCAATTACCCGTGTTTTAATTGGGCTCTGAAAAATGGGTAATTTGCACAATTTTTGTATCTTCTGGGGATTATACCACATGAATTTGAGCTATGGCAGCATTCAATGTGATGTTATTACAATTTGCTTGTCCTAAGCTTTCTAACACTGTTTTTATGTAAGTTGTCAACCTTTAACGTTCGGAATTATGCAATTTTTAAAATAGGTGATTTTGAACCCTTGTTTTAGTTCTAATTAACTTAGTGAAACTTTTAAAACAATATTCTTATGTTCAATACACAACTTTAAAACAATATATAAACCAATATGTATAAAAAAAAAATTACCACAATTCTTAGAATAAAATTCAATTAGACAGATGTAAATTTTACAAAAAGAATAAGTATTTCATATGTTACCTTGACATGATGGTTCCGAAGACCATTTACCATTCGTACAGGAAGTTTGGATTTGTAATTGATAACCGATTTTGCAAGCAAACCGTTTGTTATCCTCACACGTCTCTCTTGGAATCCATACAGCGTTCTCTATCAGATTGTACTTATCACAAACTACAAATAACAATATATATTACAGTCTTAAAACAATGTAAATCTACTATCGGAAAGAGGGGCTATCTCTAATCATACAAATCAATACAATTACTATGGGTAACCAGCTTTGTTTCATGATTCAAGTAGACTCACTCACAGCAGGTTAAAAAAAAGATACAAAACACAGCACGCTGGTCATTCATATGAAAAATCTTAAAACGGAACTTCTTGATCTGTATTCAATCAGATTAAAAACTGAATGGATTAAAGTGACCTATTATTCATATTTAAAATGCCCAGAATTCGTTTTACTTCAATCCCTTGCCGCAGCCTCCTCCCCATTCTGGAATTGATAACCTTTTTTCGTTACTGTAGACAGGGACTAAATTGTTACCCATACTTACCAGATTTTTCCCAAAACCCTCTCATCGTATTGGGTTGTTGTCGAGGGCTGGCCAGCGTTAAGGATCCAGTCCATAACATGACCACTACCAGCATCAGATTAGCTTTAACCATCATATTGACTTTATTATAGGATATGTGGACAGCTATGCAATGTATGGTATATATAGACGATCAGAGAAAGCATGTTAAATGTATTACATCGAATTGTCTTGTATTCTGGTGTATTTCCGCCCACAGCTGATAAATAGAAATCATGTTGTTATTCCCAATAAAGCGTGTATTGATTTATTAGATCGATTAAAACAGAATTTAGAGAGAAATAAATAATAATAATAATAATAATAATAATAATGATAATAATGAAAGCCACACAATTAGAGGAAAATTAGAGGTGTTGACAAAAACGAATGGATTTTGTTGAAAATATCAATGGGTTCCTTTTTGGCTATCAGTTCCATATAATAGATATTTTAAGTGGATCAGTTCTGTCAGTAGGATTGAGCAACGGCGGGCATCTAAATGTAAGTGGCATTTGAGACGACAGTGGTGGAATCCTCAACTAATGACAGCAAATGCATTCCTGGCTGCTTGAGATATATCTAAGGTACTTATGACCGTTTAGATCACAACAAGAGAAACGAAGGCGACTGGGTGAGATTTAATTTTTTTGTGGGCCGATGTAAATATGTTACATTCTTGTTAGGTATGTTATTTTTGGCATTTATTATTAATTCAGATGCGAAAAAGGCTGGTGAGCTCTCAATATTACTAATGTCAACAACGCAATCCTAGCTTTTACACTAAATGTCCAGTCGGAGTTATTTTATAATTTCAGATATTCCGTTTGAATAATGATGTGTGGAAATGAAATTAAGACGACAATACACAGGGCCATGATCGCTAATAATATTTGGTAGATAGTAAGATTCTGAAATGGCCGTTACAGTCAGATAAGATGAGATCAATTAATGTTTCTGTTTGTTTTCAATGACCCTTGTAGCATCTGTCATTAAAAGTTTAAAATCAAACAGTTGAATAGAATTGATATTTGTGAGAAAATCTGTATTGAAATCACCGAAAACTACTATATACTTTTTCAGTCGGGTAAAATGTGGAAAGGCGTTTAATTTAGTACAGTTTCTATCCAGATGCCAAAGTTTATCCCTACGCATAAAGATGGGTTCCCTTATTTTCATTTATGAAAATGAAAATGCTAATACTTATATGAATAGAAAGTAGAGGTGTTCTTGGAAAAATACCAGTTTGTCATATGTCCATAATTAATTCACAATTAGCTAAATTAGAAGAGAATTACCAGCAGAATTCCAATGAGTGACCGATCAAAAAAAACGTCAAAAAGTCTTTTTTGTTTATCCAGACTGTACATACATGAACATTTATGATTGGTTAAAACTCTTAAGTTATATGCAATAAGAACATAATGATATGATTAAGAATACATGATAATTCATTAGAAACACCAATTAATCAAATAGTTTGCTTAATTTGACACTAAAAATATAAGAAAACCAATCTTTACAGAAATAGTTATTGCGAATATAGAGAGAAATTCCTCCGCCCAGCCAATTTTGATCTGTCCTGTTTTACTGTTGCATGAAAACCATCGATAGAAAGGGTGTTGGAAGAAATGTTTTTGCCAAGCCATGTTCCGGTTAAAAGAATAAAATCAGTCCTCCGAATAACATCGAGAGCGAATAGGTCTTTTGTAATTTGTTTGCGTACACCTCTTTCATTTAGATGCACAAGGGAGACCAATTTCTTAGGGTCTTGGATTTTGTTCTGTCTCCGACAGAAGTAAGAATATTCTATAGGAGTATAATGTATAGTTGTGTTTTAAGAGGACGTGTGTAGCCTTGCACTTAAAGGTCTGGTATTGAATTTAATAATGATAAACCTATATACATGAATAATATTTACAGTTTATACAGTGGCGTCACCCCACTTTCAAATGTTTTAGCATTTTACATAGCTAAAGAATGGCCTATGCCCCCCTAGTAAATTGTGGGGCCCATGCTCGTCGGCCCACCCCCTTGCCTGATGTTTCCAAGAAACGCCACTGAGTATATGCATATAGATATTTAGCTAGAAACAACGCTGTGATACTGAGTCATAAATATAATTTTGAATTGGTCTATGACCATATGTGACAAGTAAATGACGAATATATTGTTATGCAATAAAATCTTAAAGAAACATTAAAATACCAAAGTGAATCATAGTATTAGAGGAAGAAAAATATACAATGTCAATTTCTAATTCGAGAAATTATTTATGAAGACAACTAACATTTTTAAAATTTTGGATTCTGAAATGAAATACCGAAGTTTAAAACAAACTTAAGACCGCAAGACATGGACAATATTTACAGCTATGGCAATTTTATATATCATAAATCAAGACCTAAATCAACCTTCCAAAATGGCGACAACTTTTAACAGTTAACTGCCACTAATTTGTACATAATTCATGATTATTATTTTGATAAATAAAACAATAAAACTAAATATAATACAGGAAGTTAGTTTAGCAGGAGGGATGAAAGGACTACCAATACCTTATGACAATAGACGAATATAATTGTGACGTGGCAAAAATTAATGCCTAAATACGCCACTAGTTCCTCTTGAATTCAATTTTAGCAATTGCTCCAAGTTTCGTTAAAAACTCTTAATAAGTGAGCTTTCTACAATGTTTACAAAGAACAATAGCAACATTTCTCCAAGTTTCATCTAAATCTGTCAGGAATTGTGCCTAATTGAGATAGACTCACATTAAATATTTTCGATTTTTTAAAATTTTAAATAAGGTTCATCTTTAGGTGATACTAATAAACAATTTTACAAATTTCCTACAAATCCGTAAAGAATATTGCCCTGTTGAGTGTTTACGAGCAATTGTGGAAGGATCGATGGACTTATGGGTGACGCTAATGTTCCCAATAAACGCTTCTTTTTTCATTTGGGCGAATAAAAATATAATAATAATAATGATAAACTTGTTATTTTACATAGTTCAGAATTAGGTCCAATACACAAGGACATGGTCCTGTCTTACATTCAGCCCATGGGGACAGTATAATGAATGGATGTAAAAAAAAATCAATACTTCGATGGACAAACTGTTTAACAGATACACAAGAACATGTGTAATAAATGGACAGATTATGTTGCTGTGATCCAGTACATAATAAGTACATGATATCACAGTGTAACCAATATATATATACAAAACTACAAATAATACACAAAAAACACCATCACCGATACACCACTCCCACACGGAAATCTCATCAAGTACAAAACAAACAACGATAGGAAACAGAACAACAAGCATACATAAAGAGGAATCCAACATCCACAAATCGCCAAGACCAGCGACAAACAACAACAACAACAACAACAACAACAACAAGACAACAACAACAACAACAACAACAAGACAACAACAACAACAACAACAGACAACAACAGACAAAAAAATAAAGACAATAAGTAAATAAATTTCAATTATTCTGAACATTTTACAAATATACTTCATATCACATCACTATTTATTCTAAAAATATATCACCATATAGCTAGTTTGCAAACTTACTGATTTTAATTTGGTTTAAAAAAAAAACAGACCGTCTCGCAGCGCCGCCTGAAGTTTCCAACAACACAAATCACGTGCTTCAGTGAGTCACTAGTTACCACCAATTCATCATACACCAAGTATGGACATCAGCACAAAGGTGAAAATAACCAAAAAGAACTGTACAAAGTCGTTAATACTCTGTTGGATCATAATCATGGTGTGAAAATTTTACCATCATTCAAATATTGGCGATCTGCCAACCCGTTTCTCTAATTTCTTCGAGACTAAAATTGATAAAATCCGAACTAACATTGCAATTGATACTGATTTTGTTGATATTGTTGACAGTTATGATGCAACTTTTTCTTTGAATTGCCTCAAAACTCTGTCTGTCACCGAAATAGCCACTGTAATCCGCTCTATGGCCACAAAATCTTGTTCACTTGATGCCTTTCCAACTTGGCTTCTAAAAGACTGCTTGTCTGAATTACTTCCATCAATCTGTGATATTATAAATAATTCCATTGATACTGGATGTTTTCCAGATATATATAAACATGCCCATGTTATTCCTTTAATTAAAAAATCTTCCCTTGATCCCGATCAAGACAAGAATTACAGGCCAGTATCCAATCTTAGTTTTGTCTCTAAAGTTCTTGAAAAATGTATTTCAATTCAACTTATTGATTATATATCTACTAACAATCTTCTAAGTAATTATCAAAGTGCATATCGTCAATACCATAGTACAGAAACAGCACTACTTAAAGTTCAGAACGATATTTTATTGTCCATTGACCAAAAACAATGTGTAATACTCCTGCTTCTTGACCTTTCTGCAGCATTCGATACTGTTGACCACAATGTTTTATTCTACCGTTTGTCAAATGATTTCAAAATTAATGGTTCAGCCTTAGATTTATTGAAATCATATTTAACGAATCGTTCACAGTCTGTTATTGTAAACAATAAATCCTCCTCTGCAAAATGTTTGAAATATGGTGTGCCACAGGGGTCAGTATTGGGACCGATTTTTTTTAGTATGTACACCACTCCACTATCTAATATAGTTCACAGGCATGGTCTCGATTTTCATTTATACGCAGACGACACACAGTTATATTTATCTTTTAAACCCTCTGTAAATAATAGTTTTAACATTTGTAAATCCAAGATTGAATGCTGTATAGAAGATATCCGTGTATGGATGAACAATAATTTTTTTAAATTAAATGATGATAAAACTGAATACATTCTACTGGGATGGAGCAAATGTATACACCAAGCCGCACTCTCCGCTCATCTTCTGATAACTTTTTACTTGTACATAAATCAGCCAGACTTTTAACTTTCGGTGAGCGCTCTTTTACCGTCCAGACCCCTAAACTTTGGAATGTTTTACCTTTTAACATTAGATGCTACACTTCTTTAGTAACTTTTAAGTCTCTTCTCAAGACGTTTTTATTTAAGAAAGCTTTTAATTTATAGATTGTTTTATTCCTTATATTTATACATATTTTTACGTTTATTCATTTATATTTTTATACTTATTTGCCAATTTTACCAATATGTTGATACTTTATGAATTGTATTGTACAGCGCATCTGAGCACATATTGTGAAAGATGGCGCTCTATAAGTGTCTTAATAATAATAATAATAATAATCAGCATGTAACAATGAGAAAACGATTTCACTCTAATTCCTTCGTCAAACGAGGGAAATGTCATTGGTTATAATTTATGCTATAAAAAAAACAGAATGACAAAATTGAATCGATGCGACATGCAACGTAAATAGTCAAGAGAGTTGCCTCCCATTAACCACAGCAATTGTTAATTCAGCTTTTATAATTTTGACGGGTGCAGCGCAGTTGGTAAAAAAGGCGTGAAGCACAGATTCAGAGACACATTTTGAGCAAGAATATCAATTATCAATAATTAGTATGTCATAGCTGCTCAATATACACAACAAATAGGAACGTGCCAACAATATTGCAAAAATTCGTACAAAATTCGAGATGATGAAGCTGACCAAAGAAAGAGAAAAATCTAGTCTGAGTACCAAATCATCCTTAGTCCTCAAAGATGACCACCACTTTAAAACCTTCATCAGCTCATGAAGAGAGATATTATCATAAAACATAACATCAGTAATCTTATCCAACTCCGAATGATGCATTCACAGATATAAAGATGGGTTCCCTTATTTTGTTTCATAAAATATGAAAATGAAAATACTTATATAACTAGAAAGTAGAGGTGTTCTAATGACTTGGAAAAATACTGGTTTGTCTCACATGTTCATAATTAATTCATAATTAGGCTAAATTCCAATAAATGAGCGATCAAGAAAGGTAAAAAAGTATACAACAATTTTACTCATGGTTTGTTCGTTTCTTACTAATAAGATCCCAAGGACTTAAAAAAACTCAAGAAACGTTACAAAGCTACAAGGCTGACATTTACAGGGATAATCCACATAGAATAGCTGGACCTGTCAGGACAAACAGAACTCAAACATCTCCCATAGAACAGAAAATTTTATTCATGATTTGCTCTTTTCCCACTAATTAGACCCCAAAGACTTAAAAAACTCAAGAAACCAAATTAAAATCAGTAAGTTTGCAAACTAGCTATATGGTGATATATTTTTAGAATAAATAGTGATGTGATATGAAGTATATTTGTAAAATGTTCAGAATAATTGAAATGTATTTACTTATTGTCTTTATATATTTTTTTGTCTGTTGTTGTTGTTGTTGTCTGTTGTTGTCTGTTGTTGTTGTTGTTGTCTGTTGTTGTCTGTTGTTGTTGTTGTTGTTTGTCGCTGGTCTTGGCGATTTGTGGATGTTGGATTCCTCTCTATGTATGCTTGTTGTTCTGTTTCCTATCGTTGTTTGTTTTGTAGTTGGTCAGATTTCCGTGTGGGAGTGGTGTATCGGTGATGGTGTTCTTTTTGTGTATTATTTGTAGTTTTTATATATATATATTGGTACTGTGATATCTTGTACTTATTAGGTGGCCATGTACTTCAGCCCTAAAATGGCAAAAGGCAGTAAAGACATTTTTTACATTTTGAGATAACTGTACTTTTCTTCACACTAACTGCCTTTTTGCTTTGTCACATATTTCCTATATATATATAAAAGCAGATACGGCCTTTTTCATTTGAAAATATATTCAAGTTATGGAGTTGTCACCTATATATCTCAATAAGTATCCAACCAAATAGAGCTTGAAATTCTGATGCCAAAGGTTCAAAAAAGTGATTTAGTCCTATAGGTCTTGCTGTATTCAATGTCTCAATCCAATGGGCTTCCCTAGATTGACGGAATTTGGTAGTTTCATCTTCGGGCAAGTCAATTTCTATACGCTCAATTGGGATTAGGGCGAGATCGTCTATTGAATGGTCGTCGAGGTTGAAATGATTAGAAACAGGTGTTAAATTAAAGGGACAAATTACAGCCAGCTGGCGGAGTAGACTACTTTAATGGCTTTTCTTGACTTTAATAGTGCTAGTATATACCTTGTGGAATCGACTTTTGCAATCCGAAATTTCGAGTTGTGCCAAACATATTCAGACAAATAACAATTAAACATATTTTGTATGTGTGCAATATATACCCTTTTGCACAAGCAATGATAGATAAATATGGGTCAACTTTATAATGTATACAATATATACATTACTTATTATTATATTTTGTGAAACATCTTGAAACTTATTAATGGATTTCTTACTATACCATCCAATGATATGCTTAGAATTACTATATACGTCAATAATATCGAATAAAATTAGTTAGTCACCACAATAGTTGTTTTACACCATATGATATATAGAACGATTGAGAGAGAATGCATAGGTAAGTTACTCCTTGTAAATATATATACCAAATGAACAATTTTAGGATATATGGACTCTAGCAGATATTTGATCTCCATCCAACTGAAGAAGTTGTCAACTAAGTCACAGTTTTTTTTTATCTTTATCACAGTTACTAAACGTTGAGATAACGAATGCTTGGCAATACGTCTAACAATGGCCGTTGGACGAGGACCGAAGGTCATTACGTCATATTGACGTACTGACAAGCTTCCGACCATTAACCAACTTAAAAAAAAAACAAAATACAGACCGCAAATAAAAACATCTACTCCAGCACGTGCTATAATATAGGTCACATGAGATCCAATCACATGCTTAACAATACAGGCAATCTTTCGAAATGTCCAGTCAGGAAAATAAATATACCTGTTCGAGTTACATACTATTATTCCCTTATTGCTGTGTTGTTCATTTCATTATAATTAAATCACGATTCCGTTTACACGGTTTCACGCAATTTGATTGGATAACAGTGGTCACGTGCATTCGGTTTATATCTGTTTAAACGGAATGTAAATATAAGCTCTGCCCCTTAACGGACTACTTTTATCTTTGAGTTTGATTGTCGTGGCTACTACACGGCGTCGATGTCGTTGCTTCGAACGTCAACAGAACCGAAATCGACACTTCATTTAATGATAACGATATTTTCCAAATTCCCTCGAATGTGCACACTCCAAATTCCAACAATATCATGAATTCTGGACTTATTTCGAACACGTCTTTCAAAAATTTCAACGTGGTCAACTTTCAGCCAGGGAGACAGTAGACTATAAATAGGTGACCTATTTATCTTTGATTGGCTGTTCTCTTGGACATCTCTATTGTTAGTATCATTTCATTGGCGTTATGTTAAAAAGTTTTGTATTTATGCGCCAATTTAGTTCCTTAAATTGTTGTTATATTAAATAACTATTTAAACATGTATTCGAGATGATTTAATTTTAAGGAATGACCTGAACATTTTTTCAGTTTATCGATGTATAAACAGAAAAACCTGTGTACACTTATGTATAAACCGCTTCGCGGAATTTGTTATGACCCCTAAATACACTACTGTCATGGCATTTTCGTGATTTGCATACACTTTGCATTGTTAAATTTTATCAGTGATTAGTAACAAATTTGAAAAATTAGTGTTGTTTATGAAGAGATTTGAGTGCTTTATTTCTGACATAATAAGAATATTCTAATTTCAACCGGGTTTCGTATTAAATTTGTTGTAAAATTCATTTTTTTCCAATTGTACCCCAAATCATTTTTTAAATATGATCGAAGAATAAAACTTAGATCGATTTCTTTAACCCACATCGCATATGACTAGTGTTTAGATACTATTTGAAGCCAAGTCAATCGTGAATACATTTATAAAACAGGTCACATTTACTTCGTAAATGACCAAGAGTCCAATATTAGGTGTCCATTTGTAATGTCAAATATTGGACTTGGGGCCATTTGAAAGTAACATTATGTTGGATATTGGTACGCCAAGTTCAAAGGTTGACGCCACATCTGTATTTTAACTTTTGAAAAAGAAGCAGTCTTTAGACGTATTTAGGCAGTAATCATTGGATCATGTCCAAGTCACTTTCACTTTCAAAATAGCGTTAGATGTATCCTGCGCTCCCCCGGCTTCCAATATAACAAGAGTTATAAATTTCTAAGCTATTCATTATTGATTAACAACCGCCTTTTGGAACAGACTGTTGTATTTCCCTTTCAGTGCTCGAGAGTTATATTCCAAGGGAGTTAACTACAGTCCAGTTTTGTCGTTAAGGATTTCAAAAAGCTGTTTAAGTAATTGAATATCAGGGACATTTATACATTTACTGGTGCGACCTTTTGTCTGACTTCCGCAAATCGTTCCGTAATAACGCAACAGTACTGTTTCCGGCCTCATAAAGCGAGTTCGGAAAAAACAATATAAACTCGTATCACAGGTTAATAACTATGCGAATTAGGTTATGTATTCATAACGTAAAAAAATACAACATGGCATCTTGAAGTTGATAATTCATTTAAACTGGACGGTAAACGACATGCAAGTTCTCCTATAAGCTATAGAAACGGTGCAAGGAAAAGGAAAATATGCGTTTATTGATAGTTTTGTGAAGAATAGAATCTTTAACTCGTGCTTATGTAATATGAAATTTATGAAATAATTTGATGGATTTTGGGTGGGTTTTCCTATATATTTACATATATATAACTAAATATGTGTTACTAATATTTCACTCTTACTATCATTACAGATGGATTGAGTGTTTTGGATTCCATCTACAGTAGAACCCAACTGATGCAAGATGAAGGAGCTAATATCTAGAGATACAGTCACCTGTTTTGTTTCTTTTGTCATCAGTTTCGTTTGTTCTTTATTTTATAACAATCCAGATTTGATTCTAGGAAAGGATTTCGTGAAAATGGTAAAGCAAAGTGTCAGTTATATTCACACTAGCACAACCTTGTTTAGGTGTGGAGTTCATCCTATTTCTGAAAAAGGTCCACCTTTTTATCTTGTAAATCAAACAAGATATCCTGGCGAGGATGCTATATTTTCATGTGGAATGGCATTTAATGGCACCATTTCTGATGTAAGTTACATACTTTGGCTCAAGAACAATGAAGCGGTAGTAAATGAAACTAACCATTATATTACTTGGGAAGTTGCAAATTATTCTGACGGCCAAGTCGTTGTTACCACTAATCTGAGCATTTACTCTGTGACCGCGGATGATTTCGGCATGTATCAGTGTTACGTGACAGTATTGGAATCAGTGACACCAACAAACGACACAAAACAGAAACCAACACCTAAACCTAACCGACGGTCTGAAAATGTAGACTGTAGTTGCAAATGTGTAAATTCTCCTTCACTTCGGATGCCAGAATTTAGCAAGGAAGATATCGCACTTGTGTATTATAAGCTACACAAACACCACTGGGTTGGTGAGTACCATCTACTGCAAGAGAAACACCGTACCAGAACACTGTTTATAGTTCCTGGAACTTTGGTTTCTGTTGCTGTGTATTTTCGACACCTCAGAGAAATAGATGATTTTTCTGTTCGTTTTACTCGAAGTGGTCAAGATATTCAGTCATTTGATACTCAATGTTCATACTCTGCTCGAGCCAATGCATGGTTAATACACTTAAATGGTATATCAGTAGCTTACAATAACATAACGTACATGAACGCAACAGCAGGTCATTGGAAGGGAAGTGTGGGAATCATATGGACTTGTATATCTCCATCTATGTACGGTGTGTACGAAATTACAATACTGAGAAAAGTTTATAACAAACACGATAATATTCAATGGATTGAAAAAATAAACTATCCTACCAAGGTGTACATCAAACCTAAAGAATCCACAATCGTCACTGAAAATATTTCCAACAATAAAAATCGAGCAGTGGTTGTTTATAACGAGAACTGCTGGTCCAATGAAGAACTGAAACCTGAAAGCTGTGAGCACATCAATACTTTGGTGGAATCAATCTTTGATAAGAACATCCTATATGAAAATTTGATTACTAGGAACATTGTT